ATGGAGGATGCAGGGATGTAGAGATGGGAGGATGCAGGGATGCAGGGATGCAGGAATGGGAGGATGCGAGGATGCAGGGATGCACGAATGGGAGGATGCGGGGATGCAAGGATGCAGGATGCAGGGATGTAGAGATGGGAGGATGCAGGGATGCAGGGATGCAGGAATGGGAGGATGCGAGGATGCAGGGATGCACGAATGGGAGGATGCGGGGATGCAAGGATGCAGGATGCAGGGATGTAGAGATGGGAGGATGCAGGGATGCAGGGATGCAGGAATGGGAGGATGCGAGGATGCAGGGATGCACGAATGGGAGGATGCGGGGATGCAAGGATGCAGGATGCAGGGATGTAGAGATGGGAGGATGCAGGGATGCAGGGATGGGAGGATGCAGGATGCAGGGATGCACCCTGTGTGTCCCCCCCATTGCATGACACCCCAAAAAGCCACCTCCCATCCCGCACCCCCTGCCAACCCCGCACCAGGAAGTTTTTTTCTGGTCTTTCTCACACTCTCAGAAAAATTTGATGCTCCCAGCGCTGCTTCCTCAACCCCCAAACATGACCAAGGCCTCATCCTGCCCCCCTGAGGACACCCCAAAAGCCCACCCAGCCCCTTCCCCACCCCAGCATGATGAGTTTGCACATGCCCCTGCGCCCACCTCCTCAATGCGAGGGTCTTGGTCCCAGTGTCGCACCGCAGGGCACCCAAGGGAAATGGGGGGGATGTTGGAGACCAGCGGCGCTCACCGAGCAGTGGCCGTGTCCTCCCCTGTCCCCCAAAGGCGCTGACGGAACCGGCGCTTCCTGCTGCGGCTGACAAGGGGGCACAGAGGCGTTCACATAGCACCCGGGGCCCAGGCACGCTCGCACATGTGCTCCAGATGGGGAAACTGAGGCACGGGAGAATAGTTTGGGTGGTCCTGGGCTCTGCAAACCCCAAAACCCAGCAATGCCATGACCCCAAAAATGCCTGTGCTGGGGGGAATTTGACTCCAGGATCCAGGTGATGGGGACGATGGTGACCGGTGACTTACCCAGGTCACCCCCCAGTGCATCCCTGCAAGGAAAACACAGATCTGGGGGGCAAGACAGGGCCCCCAACCCGGAGCAGTGATCCCCAGTGGGAGGGGACAGCAGGCAGGGCTGCCTGCTCTGCCCCTGGCACTTCCCTTATCTATGCAGTTATTTTAATGACTCATTTCTTGATTGCTCTGGTTCCCAAGGGAACAGACAGGCTCGCACCTACGGCTCCGGCACCGAAACCAGTGTTTCCAGTGTATAATTGGGAGTGGGGACATCTCAGCCTTCCCTCCTGACCCCTCCATTCCCCAAATCTACCCCAAATTGGTCTCAGCCAGCTCCCATCCATCACTTCAGCCCCATCCATCACTTCAGCTCCATACCAGTAGACACTGGGAGTGGGTTTTTGCTGGATACTGGATGGGTGTAGGGGGCTGGCACCCCAAAAACACCTCTCGGGGTGCTGCTGGCATAATGGGACTGAGATCCAGCCTCTGCAA